TGGTGGCAGCGATACCGCCGCCCTAACTCACCGCGCCCTCATTCCAGCCCGCGACGCTGCAGTGAAAGCGAGGCAGCGGTGGCCGCCCGGAAACAAGGAGCCTAACCTAAGTAACGACGAGAAACGCCTCACGGACTGCGGCCTGGCCAAAATAACAATAATAAAGAGTGAGACTAAGCGACGGCGTTCGGGCTCCCCTAGGCCTGTTCTGGGCCCCCTAGCGCCGGGAAGGGCCTCCGTTTTCCGGTTCCTGCGCGCTCCTTCGCGGCCGAGCTCAGGGGACGAGCCCCAGAGGCCTCCGTCCTCCCTCAGGCGTCGGGGCTCGGCCCCGGGCTCCACCTTCGTCTCCCAGGATGGCGAGCAGCAGCGGCTCCAAGGCCGAGTTCATTGTCGGAGGGAAATACAAACTGGTGCGGAAGATCGGGTCTGGCTCCTTCGGGGACATTTACCTGGCGATTAACATCACCAACGGCGAGGTAACCACCGGGGGGCTCGGGGTCCGCGGCGCCTTCCTCGCCCCTGCTGCCCCCGCGCGCGCCCCGGGCGGCCGGGGCGGTCCTGCGCGCTCTGCCTGCCTGAAAGGAGCACCCGGCGGGGCGGGAGGTCGAGCGGGCTGCGAAGTTCTCCGGCCTGTTAGAGAGGCCCTCGGTGTCCTCTGGGCCAGAGCGCGTGAGCCGGGAGGCGAGCCGGGCGCGACGCTCGTGGTCCTGCGCTCGTCTTTATATTTAACTCGACCCGGTGCTGTTCCTGCGTGGACAGGTTGCGGTCGCCTAGCTCCCCCAAATCTGCCCGCGTTCCGGGTGAATCGTTTGCCCGCTCCGTAGATCTAGAGGACGTGTGGATTTCGTCATTACCCCCCGAAGAGGGCTTTGCGGCCGCTCGCCTCGATCTTGTAATTGCAGCAGCGGCCCGGCCCCAGCCCGGCCCGCCCGGGCATCGCGACCCCGACCCCGGCCGAGGCCCCTCCCGGGCGACGCCGACTCCGGGATGCTGATGCCCCCGTGCCCTCTCTCCCCCGCAGGAAGTGGCGGTGAAGCTAGAGTCTCAGAAGGCCAGGCATCCCCAGTTGCTGTACGAGAGCAAGCTCTATAAGATCCTCCAAGGTGGGGTCGGCATCCCCCACATACGGTAAGCGCTGTGCGCGCGGGGGCGCTGCGGCCGGGGTGGGGAGAGGGCCGCGCCACAGGACCTCGCGGCCGCCGGCTCCCTCCAGCCGTCGGTCGGCGTAATCACGGAGTGCCGCTTAGTGTGCGACTTAGCCAGCATCCCATTGTTCGTTGCACCCGCCCGGCTCCCGCCGCTCTCCCCTCCCGAGGCTTCCTTTGCGGTTGGCGTGCGGCGCGTCTCAGATCCGGGTCGGGAGAGGAGGCGGCGGCTGCCGCCGGCCGTGGGGCGGCACCGCTGGGGCTCCGGGGCCGGCCGGAGAAGTCGAGCCGAGGGCGCCCGAGTGACTGGGCCGGCCAGTTCGGGTTGCTGTTGGAGCTGGCTTGGAAATGGCTGCTCTTTTGTTGTGTTTTTTGTTCCAACATGTCTTCCTCCTCCGCTTAGAAAATGGCGGCACGACGTGACTCAACCCCATGTTCTTGTCCTTTGCTCAGCCACAAGTTCTGCTCCCTTGCGTCTTCCCTTAGCAGCCCCGAGTAGGTTAGATTAACCCTTTGTAAAGCCAAGAATGAAACTTCAGCAGGTGGTGGGGTTTAAGCAAGGAGATGACAGTTATGTTTGTGATCTCTGCAGCAGATGCAACACGAAATGGGGGGGGAGAAAAGAATTCCTATTCCTCACAGAGGGGTTAATTAACCTTTTCTTGGATAGCAAGACTTGGTAACGTATCAAGTTTTAATAGGTAATGACAAAGGCAGTTTGAGCAGCACCAGCTCTGTTGAAATGTACTCAGATCAGGTGTTTAAAGAAAGCGTCACTTAACCACAGTTTGATCTGTAATTTTAACCTGTTGAGTTGTTTTGTCCACAAAACTTTACATTTGGGAAATTGTGACATTTGAGGGGATTGATGAATGCAAATAAAATAGTAGTCATAATGAAAGGTGATAAGATAAAAAGTTTTTCTTTCAAATGGGTAAACTTTTCGAGTGTTTTGATTTTTGATTCAGTAATCTCTTCCCTAAAATAGAGACTAATAAAATGTAGTTTAATACTCAACTGGTTTTCGTTACTACTCAAAAGTAAGACAGAATATCCAAAATGGTTGAAAAGGAGTGATATATTGTGTCCTCCTTTATTCTGTTTTTTTTTTCAAGTCTCCAGTTAAGCATTGTATTAGCTGCCTTAATTGTAAAATGGAAACAAATAAAATGGCAATGTACTTTGAAAAATTGTTTTAAGTGGACATTTGTAATGGAGAAATTGGATGGTGAAGTATACTAGTGGTTATAAATGGTAATTTGGAAGGAAAATCCAAATTTATCTTATGTAGCAAAGATTGTGAAATTTGCTATGATCCAGATTTGAGCTTTTTCATGATTCCCATCTCCAATAAAAACTTAATTTGGGGCTAAGGAGATAGCTCAGTAGAAGTTCTTGCCTGGCAAGCACAGGGTCCTGAGTTCAATCCCCGGTACCACCAAAAAAAAAAAAAAAAAACTTAATGTGTAGGGAAATAAGACCCCTTTTTCATCTCTATAGTTTTTCCCAGAATTTCTTACAAATAAAATCATGTATACAATACGAGGTCACTTGTATGTGGCACCCTTCATAATGCTTTTGAGATTTATCTGTTTGGGGAGATTTTATAAATTTCACAAGTTAAGTTGCATTTAATGTATTTGAAATAATTTTATTAATTTTACTGAGAAAAAAATTGCAATGAGACAGTTTCAAGACAGGTTGGTAGGAGAGTTACAACAATTAATACATTGCATATTGTTGTCTTTGTAGTAGACATTCATAGCTCAAGATGCAGTTGAAATTTTTTTAAAAAGCAAATAACTGGCATCTTCAAGGCCCAAGTTAAGAACATGCTCTTTCATGTAGTAGCTTTTATTTCAGGACAACACCAACATAGACCGGTGGTGAGGCCAATGAGTGATGTACTGAATAAGCACACAAATAAATGAAATTAACTTGCAAGCGGACTAATAAGTGCCTATTATAAGGTGGTGAGTGCAGAGAGAGTTATGGTAGTTATAAACTGGGTGGGTCTAAATAGATTAACCTGGCTTTCAATTTAAGGCTTGCTGGGAGAGGAGATGAGATTTCAGGATCTGGCACTGAGGAAGAAAGCTTGGTGAACTGGTTTGGGAAGGCACCCAAGAATAGTGTGTGGCTTCTGGGAGTAGTCTTTAAGGCAAAATGTAATTGGATAAGGGTGGGGGACGCGTGCGTTATTTCAGAAATGACAGGGACCAAGTTCATAGAAACAAAGGTGGTTCATTGGTTTTAAAATGAACTGTGAAGGAACACTTTTTCCACTGACTTGCAAAAGGTATACTTGAAATTATCTGCATGCCAAACTGTCTTCTCATCCTCTGTTCCTTATTATTTCTATATAAAATAGACTTTACTAAAAAAATATTAATATTGAGTTGATTGTTTAAACAGGCAGACTGCATTACCTAGTTTTAGAAGTGTTGGCACTGATTTTAAAAATTAAGTTTTTGCCTTATTTACCCCTCTCACACACCCCCATAGTATTTTTAAAGTACTGTACTTTGGGATATCCTAAAACAAGGGCTTAAAATTAACCTGGGTTGCATTGCTGATCTGTCTGATCAGGTTCTTCCTGTGTAATTTGAGGAACCTATTATTAAGTAGAAGCCTAGTGTGTAGCATAAAAGCAGTGATAAAGGGCGGCTTCCAGTCTCTCTGTATTTTAAGGAACTAAATCCTTGCAGAATTGACACTTAGTAGCCCAAATAAAATCACTATGCTTCTATTAAAGAGTACCCCCCTTTTTAGGTGGGTAACATTCTGAATTGAACTAACAAGTTCTTTAAGGAAAGTTATGGTAAACAGTATTTTTCTAGGCAGTTATGTGTTAGGATTGAATTTAAGATCAGCCAAGTATTAAGGACTAGTGATCTATAGAGTAGATCTCTTAATCTCTTTGAACCTATTTCTTTATTTATAAAAATAAGGTACTGATACCATGAGTTTCTAATTTTGTTAGGATGGTAAACAGAAAGTTTTGGGATGTTTTTTCCTCTCTTTTTTTTTTTTTTTTTTTTGAGACAGGATCTTACTATGTAGTCCTGGCTGACCTTGAACTTACTATGTAGCCCAGGCTGGCCTCCCAACTCATGATCCTTCTGCCTTGGCCTACCAAATGCTGGGGTTGGATTGCAGGTGTGCACCCTTATATATGGCCTTAACTATGTTTTTTGTCCTTTTCCTAAATTGTCAAGTATTCCAGTAGATAACAAAGTACTAGTCCTTAATCTTCACCATTAAGAGCAATTGAAATTTTGTCTTCTGGCACTAAACATATATCCCACAAACAAGATTGTAATACCATTATCAGAAAACAATGACAGGGGCCAGGGAGATAGGTCCTGAGTTCAATCGCGGTACCACGAAAAAAAGAAAAAACAATGACAGCTGAATTCATTGAGATACAAGTTTCAGTGCTATTGAAAAATAGATGTACAAGACGTGTGAATTTTTACTCAAAGCATAACTAACTTTATGGTATACTAAAGATGCTTTATATTGCTATCTTAAGGAGTAATGCTAAGTAGCATTTTTTGAGCTGGACAAAGCCAAGAGATGGATGTGGCCCATGCCCATGTTTCTCCTCTTCACCACACATTAAACATTTGATTGTTGAGTCCCAGAGGTATTACTAGTGTGCCCCCCCCAACTACCAGCTCTTCTGAGAATCTTACTAATTTTGACTCAGAGTCACATGATGTCTGCTCACATAGCCACACCTTCTTACCTCAGTAGTAAAGTGCTTACCTAACATGCAGGAGGCCCTGAAGTCAAACCCCAACACTGTAAAACCAAAACAAAAGCCAAATGAAAGAGACCTATTAATTTGTGTTTTTTGAGTAGATGCTTATAATTTAGGGTATGCTTCTCCTTTCTGAATCCTTTTAGGATTGCAGGATAAGAACTTGGTGGAAATGATTAACTTTTATTTGTTGTAAATATTGTGAACCAATATAAAGTATGGGTTTTTCTTGATTTCATTCATTATAACAACCAAATCATTTTGTTTAAAACTATATGTAAATGGCATTGGAAGTATTAAGTAAGATTTTTCTCATGAGTTGTCAGTATTCAGAAAGGATGATTACTGTCAAGAAATTGATTCCTTCAATCCCTGGTTCCTCCAGACCAAAAAAAAAAAAAAAAAGAAATTGATTCCCCAGTAGATATCTGCACACACAAAAACAGGCTAGGTTGTGACACAGTTGTAGAACATGTACATATTTAGTGTATGGAATGCTATGGGTTTAGTTCCCAGTGCTGTTTGAAAGTGATGCCCTTTTCCTTTTCCTATATGCATGTGTATGTATTTATTTTGAGAAAGGGTGTCACTGTGTAGCCTTGGCAGTCCTCCTGTCTCAGCTTCCTGGCTATTGGGACTGCAGGCATGTGCCACAATGCCCAGATCTTGTTTCCATTTCTAATACAATCTCAGATGGCTCTTAACAATTTTAGATGATCAATATTAACAAGAGTTTGAACTGAAGCTGACCTAATGGAATTTTTTTTTTTTTTTTTTTTTTTTTTTTTTTTTTTAATTTAAGTATAGGGAAGCGGCCGGGGGAGCTTGCGGGGGCGGTGGCGGGGGCCATGGGGTCCTGCTAGGCGGCAGCGATGTCAGGCTATGGGAGCCGCCCGGGCGCGCCCCCACTTTCCTGGGCTTGGAGCCTCGTGATGACTGATGATTTTGGCTATGGAAAAGGGAAATGTGCTAAGCACAGTCTGTCAGGAGCCCTCAAGACACGATTTGGAGATGATAAACCTGAAGACCTTGAAGAGGCAAACCCGTTTTCCTTTAAAGAGTTCCTAAAAATAAGAATCTCAGTCTGTCGAAAGAGGACACAAGCAACAGTAGAGTTTACCTGAAGGAAGCCTCGAGGTGCTCCCTGGGACTGGACCCTGACTCCCCAAGCACCCAGGCTGTGGACTTCGGCCTGGACTATCTGCAGCCGCTTTTTG